GACAGGTTTTCTTATGCATATACACAAACATTAATGACAATTTTATGTTGATGTCATCTGCTTGAAAGGACCGATGAACACCCCCAAGAACCGGAACTGATGCTCCATGAATGTAAGTTAAATAGATTACCATTATGCCACAACAGTCAGTTGTTTAAATTATAAAATGTTCACACATCTCTAATTAAAACTTGTTTTGTCCAGATTTTTATTTCAGGTGTGGGGACTTGAAGTCAGCTAGTTTTAATATTTATAAAGAATGATGATCTATGTAATGTATGTATGCAGTATAAATATTATGCCAACAAGAAACTTTACAACATCGTGAGTCACCTTCAATGACGTCATAAACTTTCAAATGCCCCAAAGGTTTTTTCCAGATTATGAGGTATTACTGCCATAGAAATCTATACTACAATACTGTAAAATGTTCCCATAATTGAAGTAACATAAGTACAGCATACGAAACATAGGATACTGTGATGCTGTCTCTCCGTGACAATCTGGGATACAAGAGAAATAGCACTGAAATGCACAAACAAGTTACTGCATGTTGTGCTCTTGTGTTATGAGCCAGAAAATCATCCTTCTAGACGTTTGACGGAACGAGAGAAGACAGCAGAACTTGTAACTACAAGTGGCCAAAGGACATCCTGGAAGGAAGTTACAACTCAGTATGTCTGATGAAGGTAATTTTAAATACGAAAGAGGTTACAACTTGTAAAATTGGCAGGAAAGGAATGGCTTCTTGAAGGCACTGCCTAAGAATTTGTCTCGAGACACAGCACAAACACAAAAAAATCCCTGGTTATGATACCTTGCCCCAGGAATGCATCCACAAAAACCATGTGAACAAGAGCCCTACTTTAAAATGTTTAATGGAAATACATATTTAAAATCAGCCTAAAGTAATATTTGGCAAGTCTAATGGCATGTTACTGTTCATAAAATTAAAGTTTCACTGAAATGCACACACAGTCAAATATTCTGATTAACAAGCAAAATATACCAAGCCTAATTTTGTGAAAAAAATTCAACAAATAATCAAATGTGCATTATTTAACCACAATTATATATCTTTAAACTAACCTGGCTACACAAACACATCATGCAGTTCCCAGACAAACCCGGAGTTGAATTGTTAAGTGCAAAGGAATCAGATTATAATTATAAAAATATTTCAATAAGGCACCTCCAAACACGTGAAATGGAACCAACCCAAGTCTCCTAATAGTTGTGCTTATCTTATTTTCAGCAGAAATGTGGGGATATACTTTCAGGTACATGAACTAGCTTCTAATGATTGTGTTAGTGCAATGTTACAGTACAACTCTTCACATGTGGAAAATGCCAAGAAAGACTCTAGATATATTTTGATACAAAAGATGATACATGAAGAATGTCTTCAAAACTTCATGGAAAGTATGAAATATTTAAGTATGCATACAACACAGGTAAAATTCTGTACCCAAATCGCCTTTACATTACAATGAACAGCAGCCTAAAAATAAACTATAAACTCTGAGTTAAAAAGTGCACAATGGTGCTATTCAGCGAATAATGGAAGTCTCCAGTGTGACACCCTGAATCAAATTCCATGCAACAGAAAGGGACCATCCAACCAAACATCTGGAGCGAGCATCATAATCATGAATTCACCCACTGAAAATTATAAAGTATGTGCAACCCATAATCAAATACAATCAACAGACAACAGCACATTCATTATATTTATTTATTTTTGTTTCTGTGTTCACTATGTCAATTCTTTTATGGTTGTGTTGAGTTTTACATATACGGCAGTGTAGCTGTATCCATTTTCTTTCCTGGCAAGATTCAAACATGACTGCAGTTCATAGAAAGACACTCATCCTTCAACAAGTAGTCTGTATCCGATTGAACACAAGATGAAAGGAAGAAAACAAATGGAACGTGCCACCTGAAACTGATACCATTCAAAAGTCAATATCATTAATTCTTTCATATTCTTTAGTTTTGTTTTTCAGTAAGAATTCTTTTAACCATTCACTTTTTAACTAATTTGATAATATTTTCAAAGTTGTAGCTCAGTATTACTTCATGCCATAACACGGTCAGTTCAGAGTTGAGTAATACCACATTCACACAATAACCAGTCACTAACACCAACACGTCATTTGTGTAACTGTAACTTTGTCAATAATTCATGAAATGTCACACTCTGTAGCAAGCAATCCTTCTCTTAACATAAATGAAAATCTGATTCCTATGGAGGAAAGATAATACTTTCCAGCAAAGTAACAATTACAAATGCACTGAGCTATAGCTGTTGGCATTAGAAACTATTGCCCCCCCCCTGTTTCCCATTAACCAACACAAAGTGATAAATTCTACCAAATGCTGCATAAAATTGTCAATTATATAACAATTTGTATTTAATTCTGTTCCCTGTACCACCCAAAAAAAATCCACAAAATTGCAATAAATATCAACAGACACTAAATATTCCCACCAAGCAAATAATTTCCACCCAGAGAAAACAAAGAACCAGCACTTTTTTTCCAATCACTTAGTTTCTTTACCAATTTTAAAATCCCCTTTTCAAAACTACCACAATATTATGCATTATAAATACTTACACATACCTTGACAATTGTACAACACTAGAAACCCCACCACAATTTTTTTTTAAAAAACATGCCCACAAACACTTGTGAACTGATTAAGCAATGCAATCAACTGACCCGTCTGGATTCTAGATAAATGAACAAACCAAAAGTGACTTACAATTTAGCAAAACAGTGTACAGACCTCAAAACAGGCTGCTCTATATATTGGCAGAAGCAAATGAACAGACCAGCATCCTCACTCATCGGAGTTAACAGGATATTTTCCATGAGCATGGGCATGTTAACTGTATATATAGAATTTTGTATAATACCATCAAAAGTTTATAATTTATTTTGAATTTCAGGTCAAACTTGTGATGGCTTGTGTTAGAAAGGGAAAGTTTAGAGTAATTAGTAACATAATGAAGCTAAAATCAGATTTATCATCAGTGCATTATAAAAAGAACATATGTGCCCAGAATTTGCTATATTATTAAAGACAATTATATGACTGTTCATCAACTTGCAGTTTCTACTCAGAAGATACTGAATTAAAGTAAAAGTAAAGAAAAGCTGTCCTACTACATGCCATGCGGCAGCTTGGGGGAAGAGGTGGGGTAGCTCTTACTCATTTCTAACCTCAACACTAGAAGGGGTAAGTGGTCAGCGTCACGCCCCGACCACGCTTTACCCCCGGGAAGGACCACGGTACCCTCTGGATAGGAGGCTGGGTGGGCCCCAGAGCCAGTCTGGATGCAGTGGCTAGAGAAAAATCCTCTGCCCGTTAGGGATCGAACCTGTCGTCCAGTCCGTAGCCAGTCACTATACTGACTGAGCTACCCAGCTCATCACTCAGAAGATACTGTACACTTTAAATTAATGCAGCAAATTTTGAAGTTAATTAAGTATATTTCTTGTAATGGTTCACCTACTTATTAGTGTTTTATTGAAACAGTTTAAAGAAAACCCAATTATGCTGTATCTAAAAACAGAGCAACTATGTTCTTTTACTTTTTGAGAACTGACGCATTCAGTATTATACTGTGTACTTTTTAGTCTCTCAGTGAAAAGATAATTTTAAATCACCTTTCCTTAATTCAGTGTTATACATAATCTGCTACACATAGTTCAGATTTATTCCACAGCCTAAATTTAATTAAATTTACAGCTTCATGTGACACTAGGTTTGCTTCATAAGTAGCAATAGCCGGACTGCACTGTTCATATACTCAAAAGAGGCGTATGTGGTTATGGTTTGCTTCGATTGCCAAAAAAAATTGGTTCCAGACAGATCAATTAAAATTCAGTTACAGAACAACTTTTATAAATTACTAAACATATCACCATCAACTTCACTTTTTATCCATAACTTTTCACTATTCTGTACACATTTTCTGCTATAGCAATAATATTTAATAATAATAATAATAATAATATATAATTTTAATAAGGTATTTCTTCATCTCTTATTAAAAACTGTTACTTTTTCATGTGGCCAGCCACTTCATATATTAACCATTAAACCTAATGGGACAATTGGGTATAACAGGACAAATTATTATTTCCACATTTTCTTACTGGCAAGAGTAGCTTTTGTATTTAATAACATTAAATTCTTTTAACGCAAAAGTCAGGCTCAACCAGTTTAAAAGTTTAGCTAATAATGTGTCATGACTGAATTCTCTTTAAACAATGAGCATTCCATGCAGTATCATTTAGTTCCATTAAAAGTGGAGCTCAAACACAGACATGACACAATTATCAGATGCATCAGTGCCTAACCAAATGAAGAAAAAGGAATGGTTTCTTTCAACCATAACACCATATAGAATTCTACAAATATGATGCTATAATACTACCGATGTGGTTATCTTGCCTTAACCATTTAATTTATGAAATCGCATTATGCACATTATACTGAAGTATACACCTCATCAAGGCTCCAAAACCTTAAAAATTATTGTTACAGACTTCTGTAGCCAGACAGAACTGAGCAACCTTGGTCTTCTCTTCTGGCTAATAAAGAAATTAAAATAAAATTATAACACCAAATAATTCATTTAAAAGGCAGTTACCAACTAAACAGACTGCCAATAAAGACCTAGCAACTGCATTTAAGAAGTTCTATAGCTAGGTCACATTTAATACCAAGACTTCAATTTACCCTCTAGAATAATTTAAAGAATGAGAGAGCACATCTCTGTACCATACAGTGACATTCATATGCGCAGGTTCATCTTATCTCTGTAACATACAGAGTGACATTCATATGCGCAGGTTCATCTCTTTTTACCAGTAATTACTTTGTCACTGCACTTCATACAAAAATATCACTTCAATAAAAAGATTGCTTTGATGAGATCACATTTCAGTAGTCATGATCACATCTGTGATCACAAATTAGGCGGTACGTCCACTAACACATCAGATGTAATTTATTGCAATGGCCAAGATACACACATACAAAAAATAAACTGAGGATCAGGGTACATTTATGTAAAAGACAAAACTGCCGAAGCTGTTCCTTCATGGTGAAACAGGCTATATTCAAGACATAAAATACCTTCAATGACTGAAAAATTATGATGAATTATAGGCAATTTCCAGTTTAAAAATACACATATTTTAGCCTATATGGAACATTACATAATTCAGTGAAATTAACTAATTTTTTGTGAATACAGACTCCAAAAAAATTAGTCTTTGAATTGCATTTCAGGAGCAATAATCTTGCCAGTAATAAAACAGAGTGGGGAACAATGAATTAAACTATTGGGGAAGAAAACATGTTAGGATTCATAAGCTGTATACAAACATATTTACATATAACAGAGTAATAATATATGCAATGGTTTTTATGAAAGATGTAAAGGATGCATGAAATTCATATGGTACATAATGAAAATGCTTCATGGAATAGCTGAATTTTTGTATAATTGGTGAATTCTGAAGTCTGTACAGTGAAATTCAATGGGTTGGGGGAGGGGGAGTGTCATTAACAGAAGCGAACTTAATATGACAGAGTTTTCAAAATGCTTTTTAAACTTGAGAAAAACTAATAAAACATGTGGCACTAAAACACTGTTTTTGTGGTTGAGTTCTAAATTTCAATGCAGCATTAACTGTAACCAACAATGCTTCAAAGTGATGCTCATAAACATACACTATTTGTAAGTGGCCACTGCTCAGAAACTAACCCCAAGGGAAGGTGTTTATGAAATATCAAATATGTATTTAATATCACATAATATACAATACATAAATTTAGAAAATACATGTAACTTCTCCATAAAGTTACCGAGCAAATTTTAAGTTACACAGTTTCTAACCATAAGCAAATATTGTTCATAAGAATAACCAAGTCAGAATTCATGTTAGCAAATCTTTGTGTCCAGCCTAGTTAGGTAACTAGTAACTGTGCCAACTCCAGAAAGAAAACTTCTGATTTCATAATAAGAATTTCTAGTAAATAACCACTATTTGAAGAACTTCAGTGTCACGCACCTATTTCTGATTTCAACTAAAAAGAAAATCGCCAGATCATGATTAAAAGGCAACACACATAGTTACTGGAAACAATGATGAACCAAGAGGACAACAGAGATTTCACAGGAAATTTAACCATGATTATCTACTTTACTAACTGAATTACATGGCCACTTTCTTTAACACAAAAAATTATTAATTTTATACCAATTAGTCCTAAAATTCAAATACATCGTGATCTACCAACTGCACAGACTTTTAAAATGTTTGTTCTGGAATATACAGCTTCCCTTAATAATGCAAATCAGCGGAAAAACTTCTTGACAGAAAATTCAACTACAATTAACAGAATATGGGCAATAAACTGGATTTAAAAAAATTGCTTATATAATATTTTCCTCATTCTGGATTGGTTGGAAAGTTAACTAGGGGAGAATCACTGTACAGAAGTATCAGGAACAATACTACGTCAACTTTCTGTTCATACCTGCCACCAGCTACCATCACCGTGATAACATATTCTTCACATGTTGTAGATCTGAACTACAGTACCTATTACCCATTTTCATACATCCTTCGATCCTGTTTAAATCCCATTAACACCACTAATTAATATTATTAGTATTTCTTTTCAAAGTGTAGTGTGTCCATTAACAGTACATGATACAGCAAACCCACAAAACAACTTAAATAATTTTTTTTTTAACTTAGAGATGCCTCACAGTACCACAAGAAACTTACATGTGACAGACTGGATGAACTCTCATGCACATGAAGTCACAACCAAGAGGATCCAATGAAGGGAAAAAAAATCATTAATTGTAAGATTAGAAATTATGAAATGCAACAAGACAAAGTACTTTCAAAATTTGTTCCTGTAATCATTTCAAATGCTATCACTGAACCCTGTGTCCCCAGCAGCCTTTGATAAAATGCATACTATCTACAATGAAAACTTTCATATAATAAAGATATGCATATATATTATTATTATTATTATTAAATAAGTAATCTGAGTTAATTCTATACATTAAAGCTTCTTCTTGTCAACTTCTGGGGGTTTCAGCAGGGTCTCCAACAAGTGCACAGAAGTTAGTTGGGCAGTGTTAAGCATCACTAAAGTATTTTTCTTTTCAAAATTATTCCTTATACTAAATAACATGTCATCTCTTCTCATATCCTAGATACCTACACCTCTCATTCCTACAGAACACAACAATGAAATCATTGTCTTGCATGTTCCTATGCAGAACACTGTAGTGTCTTGTCTCTTTGCTTCACTTTCTTCAAAATACAAGGTGTTCAAAAAGTCTCTATACAGCAGATATGTGGTTGAAAGTCAACAACATGAAGAGATTGGTAACGTGGTTATTTTTGTCTACATTGGTACCACAGACTTGTGACAGTTGTTTACAGCTGACATAACATTGAATACAAAATGGTGTCATGTCTACAGAAAAAAATATTTCTACTGTACACGTAAGTTTTTTTGTTTTTGTTTTGCTTTCTACTGCTCAAAAACTTTTTGAACAACCTATATATAGCCTATTGATTTCTTTTAACTCTACAGCTTCATTCTGTTCTTGCTGGAAATATTAATATTAATATCATCCAACAATGGAAGGAAAGTCATTCCAAAAAATTTTGATATATTTCAGTTTTAAATTTTCATGAGTAGAACAAGCACATTTCTGAGAAAGACTGGGTTTGCGAGACCCACGTTCAGCTTCATCTTTAAATGAAAAACTGCGGGCAGACTCCACCTACAACATATTAACACATTTCTTAAATTATGTCAAATGTAATATTGCCCATCTCAAATCTGTCTGTTGACTGAAGACTACCAACAGATCTGATATTGGTCTTCATAATTATTTATATACAAACTTGGTTTTTGATGTCATGTTTTCACGTCATCATTATTATATTATTATTATTATTATTGTACAAACACAAGCCACCAATGTCTTTCTATTTTAATCTAATTACATGGCAGTTTTGTGGGATTGTGTTACATGCCCTCTGCATAGAGTTCACTGCCGTGCAGCGCACATTGCGAGGACACTTTGTTGTTTTTTCTTTCTTTTTTTCTTACTTTTTTTGATTAAGAATAATTTCCTTTTTTAAAAAAAATAACTTACAATTAGCTTTAGTGGTTTCATATCCTTTACAGTGGCTGTTCAAATATTAAGCTTCCTTGCACAATATGAAACTGTAATCATTTCTTTGCAACTTAACAATGAATTTTCATAACTTTGTTAGTAACAAAGAGTAATGAAAACTTAGTCTGTAAAATTTATCATCTACATCCTAAACAGAAAATAAATTACCAACAAGTGTGATAGCTCTATATTTTACAACTCAATATATATTTTATAATTTTAAACTCAAAAATTCATAAACTTCAACCAGTTTTCTCTCTTGCTTAGGAAACCATAGCAATCTGGAAGTATGCACAGGCTATCCTGTTACATGACTAAAAAACCACTTGGCATCAACTTCAACTGAAACAAAGCATCTCAGAAATCTTATTAAATGTGACCTTCCTAGTTCCTTCTTGTTCATCTGATGGTCGATCAGGTCTTCTCTGAAGTCATTCCTAGCTCTCGTCCATCACTTCTAGTCATAGGTTCATTTCACATTACAATGACGTTAAAAAGCGACATGGTCTTCTTTAACTGTCACTGTATAAACATATCAGCATGTATTTTTTCTTAACACACTTAGAAATATTCTAAGCTGTAGTTTGTAAGTTTCACTTTAATACATGTTTTTATTACATCTATAATGTTCACATCTTTTGACTTAGGATGGCAGAGTTTTGTAGCTGATCGTTTGTTTTATAAACGTACATCTGAGACGTTCTTATCATTAACGACAATGCAGTTTCTCATTATGTTAACATCACTTTGTGATCTCTTCTGGACCTGGCAGCGATGCTCACATTGCAGCACTTCATGCATCCACTCAGTTACTCCACAGGTTTAAAACTTTACTCATACACAAGTCATTTGCCACAGTCAGATGATTTCTCTCTTGGGCTGTATTCCATTGACTTAATTAAAATGTCTAATATTCCCACCTCAGAAACAATGTATTTAGTTTTAACAGATTCTCAACTGTAGCCATTTATAATTTGGTGTTCCTTTTAGAAACCTGTGGATCTGTTAAAACTGTCTTAAAATTGGCACCTAAAGATGTTCTGAAAATGCCATAAGTAGGGCCTAAAGCAATAAAAATCTGAATTAAATTAATGAGTAGAATTTGATTTTTAACAAGTAATTTTCAGCAACACACATTTCCTCATAAAGCATACAATGTTGATTCTTTAACTAAGAACTGAAACATAACAACATACGTTAAGTAAACAAAATTAACTCCAACACATCCAGCAAATTCCTGTACAAATCTGACAAAATGAAGCAATCATAAAACACACACGTGAATGTGCAAACAAGCACATCCCCGCTTTCAAAATTGTGTACTATATATATACATATATATACACACATAAATCACTACATTCTGACTGAATGAAAGGATCATCCCCATATCACACCAGCATTTTCTTAAAATCAATATGAATTTCCAAATTTAAACTTGTTAAAACTTTTATGATAATACAATCCTAATTTCATACTTGCATACTTCCTTTAAATCAACCCCTTAAGCTGTATGACCTAAACCATGAGAACATGTTGATACACATGTGTGTGCGCGCGCACACAATCACTCTCTCTCACAGACACACACAAGAAATAGCAACTTTTATCAACATTTCCTAACAAAACGAGCAAATATGGCATTTTCCATTTTTAAAATACAGAAACAATTATCTTTTCAACACCGTTTTCATAAAAACTAAAGAAACAATCCGAGGCAAGTTTCTGATCCAAAAAACCATGTTCATAAACATCAATGACAGGGTGCTGTAACCATCTTCAGGAGTAAAGGAGCATCCAAATGAACAGTCGCCTTCCATCACGGATGCATCAGCTAGCTGAAGTAACCATTTTTTTCTTCTCCAGAACGAAAGAATAATTCTTCTCCTCACTATCTTTGACAGCCCCGAATTCCAGTCTATAAACTTTTACTCATTACCTTATTGACCTTTTTTTAAAAACTCCTCAAAATTACAATTAAATTTTTTATGTCCTTGGATGGAAAAGTCTCTTGTTTCAAATGTCTTAGGGTTTTAAATCTTTTAGCCTTTTATGGTTTGTGATTACTTTCAATATTTTTCTCATGTTTTATTTGACGTCCTAATGGTTGGCTAACCCTCACTTTGCACTAGGTCCCCCATCAGAACCACCACCTACAGACACTTTTTCGCCTCCTTCTTTCATCTTCTCACAGTAATCTGCGAAGATGTCTCGGAAACGGGCCCAGGACTTCTCTGGAACTGTGATGGCCGTCCGGAAATTGGTCTTCACCTACCACAGAAGCAAATGAAGGAGATAAAACATAACAACTGCAAAAAAATCTCAGTGTAAAAGCTACGATCCCCAATGCCAGACGACATCAAATAACAAATCAACTTCCTCTGTATCGCTGAATTTAAATCTGCAGATAAATTTCAAATGGGAACTTACTATCATCATCCAATGAGTAGCTTTCAATACATCAGACTTTATTACATTCAGGATGATTATTTTATTAAATCCAACTTACAAAAGCAACCCAAACAATAATAAATCATAAAATTACTCTGAAACAAACATTACAGCTTAAATGCAAGGGGCATTTAGATTATTAAATGTTTAAGAGGATCATTTCTGTTTTTCTGTGGTTTATGTAGTAGGTTTAGTCTAATAGCAAACAGAAACTGTTGTAATTACCACCAGTATGCATAGTTCAGTGGAGATGAAATCCTGTGAATATCAGAATGTCACAAATAAATTATTTCACAGATGTCAAAAGTTTGTTTTCTTCTCATTCTTCTTCTTCTCTTCCTCCTTATAACTGGTGTTAGTGACCAAACTCTCTGTCCGTAACGTCGCGATAGACACTGTATTTTTACCGCTTTTTCACTTCCACGCAACAAATTAATTTAACGATAAAACTCAAAAATATAAATGTATATAGTAATTCAATCATCACATTCAACCCTATTATTATGAAGTGTTGGGTATATAGTAATTCGGTCATCAAATTCAACCCTATTATTATGAAGTGTTGGTCTGGTAGCTAACCATCAGTAAATTTCAGTACTAATAACATAGCTACACAGCCATGGACATCTGAATGTGTCTACAATAGTTCACCATACTTCACATTTTAACATTCACATCCAAAGCAAGTGGCAACAGTCAACTAGTTGTCATACTTACCTGTTATATTTCCAGTAACAGACAATTTTACACAAAACAGGGCAAATGCACAGATGCCCATTCAAAACATCTGATGACAGATTACGCAAAAAATTACTACAGCAAATGATTACAAAAATATACCTCGGAAATGCGCATGTAGATGCCACGATTGTTCTGTCCGATGTCAAAGTAGAAATTCTTATTTTCCACTCTCATGTGCCGTCCCTCAGGCAGCTCGCCTTTGAATCCTCCATCATCGGTGCCAAATTCTTCAAGGAGATCTGTCAAAGCATCCCGGAACTCAATCATCCCCTGAGCGGGAATGGCGATTTGTGACCTTGGCCCTCCTCGTGTGATGGTCTGTGATACCTACGCCCCCAACACATGGAACACAGGCCCCCCACAACAGTATACAGCGCACGGGCATAACAAACAAAATCCTACCAGAATCATACGCTTTTCTTCCTAAACCTTACATGATGTAAAAATATACAAAAATCATGTCCTAACAAGATTTATCAAAGGTTTATATAACCCCACAGAGCAATTCATCATGCCCAAAAGTAATTATCTTACCCATCACATGTAAATCCTTAAATGTGTTGCAAAATAACTCTCAAACATCCAAACACAGCACTAAAATATAACTTTCTGTAACACCACACTGTTTGACTTCACGTCAAAAAAATCTGTTTTAATGCCTTGGAATAAGCATTCAAAGCAGAACGGCTGTAACAGAGTGAAAGGCATGGCTCACATCTTGCGGAAGGTAATAGGCACTGGTTTTTAATAACCTATACTAGAAACAAAAATAATAGTCTCTCCCTATGCCAGAGTGCCACACCATGAGGGCACAGAGGAGCATCAGTGGTAGATAAAGGTGAAGATATGACATTTCTCAAATTTATGAAATTTTACATTCTTCAAAAACAAACCTGCACTCAGTAAGAACAGTCTTGAACCTAAGACCTTAGACACAGACCCTAAAGAATACCTAGTCTCCACATGCCCATAATGCAAACATCTTTTATATAACAAAGCTTTTGGAGCTTTTAAATGAGGAAGAATATCTGTAAGCCTACTAAATAAAATTGTATTCCTTGGCAAATTATAAGCTACACATTATCTTGTTTGCTTAGAAGTTGTTTCAGAGCATACATTGTATCTTGAAAAACTGTTACGTGCATAAGAAATAAAATCTTACTGCAGGATATTCAGCAGTACATGAAAAAGCTCTCGCTATATGTTTTCAATATCCACCATGTGCAGATATGAAACATCCACATGTATGAGGAGTTATCTGTTGCAAACCAAATGTACAAAGACAAAAAAAAAGGACAACCACTAGAAAAAACAGAATTCCCAATATGTAACACGGCGCTAAGCCCATGCAAATAACTGTTCCAAAATAACAATATCTGATCATTATCAGGATATATCAAGAAGGTGGAGACAGAAGCATTCCATTTCATTTACTAGAACTTCAAACGTCAAAGGCATAAGTAAAATGGAGATTCTAATCCAATTAAAATTACAAGTGAACATACTACTAGTTCAACCCAAAGTGATCGATAGTCAGCGTTAAGAATTTTAATCTCAGATCTCAATCAACAGTAAATCCCAAAGACCGCAATCTTTGTTTCGATGAATGCTGCTCACTTCAAACAGCACGGCCATGAAGTTTGCATTTTAATTACTTTCCCAGCTAATAACTAACTAACTAACTAACTAGATGGCTTACCGAACCCGAAGGTTCATCACCGAATTAACCAAAGCCTTCCACCAGACCCTGTCCTCGGCCAACAAAATCCAGCCTCCTTCAACTCCTATCTCCCATAGATCCCGCCTGACATTATCCTCCCATCTACGTCTAGGTCTCCCCAGCGGTCTCTTCCCCTCAGGCTTCCCAACCAATACCCGGTGCACACCTCTTGTCCCAGCTCATACAAACTAAAAACAACATTATCCAGGTACAGGAAGAAGGAAAGCCAACATAACAAGCCTATAACATTTTTGTTCAAATTACTCACATTTGATATTGTACAGAAGAGATGTACGTACACTGCAGTTAGTAACAAAATTACTTTCCAGAAATGTTCAAATGGCTAGTCACGCGTTTAAAAAAATATCGAAATGAGAATGCAGTGCGATGACAAAAATGCTCTAATCAATAAAAGGACTTGGGAGACAGAGAAAAACAAGTACAAGACATAATCATTATTTAATCGATCAACAAATAGGTAAAGCATAAAAGTAGCAAATATATAGCACACAACTAAATGTTCAATACGTTTTGCTCTATCTGCAACAATACTTGAGAATTCTGCGTTCTTTCCAACAGTAAATTTAAAAAATGAAACAATAAAAATTCATGGCACTTACACTCACCCTTAGGAATCGTCCACGCGAGTTTTCCTTTAGGTCCAGATAGTAGCGCCGGTTGTCCTTGATCATCATCTCAGATTTGAGCTTCCCATCCTCTGGGACATTCTCTGGATTTGGCGGGCCTAATGATGCATAAAAGTCACTAAATGTCGACAAGTGATCTCTAAATTCTGCCGCTGTTGACAGGGCTAGGAAAATTTGACTCCGCCTACCATCAGCCCCAATCTGTAAAACAGAAACTTCCGTATAAAACAATAATCTCCAGAATAACAAGATCTAGCTCACGTTTACATAAATAATTGTATCCTTTCTTTGGACACAACAATTTTAACGCATGGCAAGTCCACCCTTCAGACATACTACCGGGTTTTAAAAGGTTAACAACATTAATTTTTTTCAATATAACAACTGTGGTCACACACCATCTGGAACCAAGAGATGCAGAGAACACTGGAAAAGGGGGCATGCCACATACCTAACAATCTTATTCTTATGCATAAAACACATGGCCATGGCCTAATTTAAGGTACTTGTCTGGAGGGAGGAAAGACCGCAGTCAAGATAGCCTGACTCCGGGCCGAGATTTAAACCCAGGATGAAGCGGGAGCGTTAACCACTCGGCCAAGAAGTTTGGTATCTCAGGAAAAAAACTGACTTGTGCCATGAACACGATTCCTTCATTCTTGTAAATTTTCTGGGACAAATGATCGAAAGCTGTTTACAGGAGAAAACTCTGAGTATTTATAAACACCTATCCCTGAAAATCCAGGACATGAGTAAAAACTTTCAATGATCCACCAGGCATGCTACTTGTTAGCCGTATCATCTTTACAGAACGATTATTTCTCAAGATCTCGCTGGCTTATGATTTTTGAGCCAGCTAATTTGGTAGGATGTAGGAGAGATTCCTAGCAAGGATTTTAAAACAGATTACCAATTTAGACAGCAAATCCTCACTAGGATTACACCTATGACCGGCACCATTCAATGAAGGGCATTGAGGCGCAGATCCAAACATTCCTAACATAGGCGCTAGATGGAGGCAAATAGTTAAATCTACTGGAGATATATAAAAATAAGACTTCTCACTTCTGCCACTTTGATGAACCGTCCTCTTCTGTTCTGTTTTACATCTAGGTAAAACCTCTTAGACTGAATCTGCAACATCTTTGTGGCCAGCTCTTGTTCCCCCTGCTGTTGCTGCCCTGTGAACATAACAGCATCGTTCAACATTAAATTCTACGCCAAATATGCTGCTCAGTTATATTGTCACTCTAGTCTTGCAGGTTGAAACTGACACTGCAGACAAATGCCTCAACCCTAAAAACTGAGATGATACATTCTCCAAAATGTTGGTAACCACCTACAGTATACTGCATCAAAACCCAGAAGACCACAATTGGCATCTTCACCACCATAAAAACCTCAATTCCCTAACAAAAATGCATATAGTAGTAGTTTACTAATGTTTCAGAGGTCATTGCTGCCTCAATCATCAGGGCAACTGCCCTGATGATGGACGCATACTACAAGATGCTAAAACCTAAAAGATAAACATTTAGAAGATTTATTTAAGAGTACTTATGTATACACAATGGCTTCCCTGCAAAACCAGTTTGATCGAGGGCTGCAAAATCAAGAGAAAAATGAACTGGTAAATGAAGTTCAGTTATTTAACACAAGAAGAAGGATATTTATAACAGAAACATGTAGTGAAGTGGCTTGTCTCAGTACCTAAGCAAATTCATGTATAATTTCTGAGTTAACCAATTAACTGTTGTGTAATGAGTAGTATATAAAACAATGAAGGAAGAAAAACATTCACATGGACTACTTCACTTTACGCATTTCGTACAGAGCGCCAAACCGGAAAAGAGAAAGGGCAGCGCAGGCCATGGCATCTGCACAATTGCGGTAACCGCAAAAGACGGGATCCGTTCCTTTCCTACACAGATACTGGAATGAACTTCCGCCCAATACCGTCGCTTTGTACGAGTAACAACAACAAAAATTACATCTGATTAAGAAACTCCCCACTTGTCTGATTCAGGACGGCCGTTACGCAAGGTCGTGACGCTTAGTACTCCAGCGCCACGGCGTTCCTCAAAACTAACACCACAAACCAACAGCATTCTTCGACGGCTCCCTCACGTGCATCCCATGAGTGAAAGTCTAGCCAGACGGTCAATGACCTCGCTACGTCAGGGGATGCTGCAACAGATCAATATACGTTGGCTGGCGGACGAAGCTGCTGCACACTTTTATTTTGCATGCCGTCACCTGGACAAATCTCTGGAATGCAACAGTTTGTCCTACTCGGATTCAATCAGCGCCCAAGACAAACATTTCCACGCTTCACAATCACGAACCCAAACACCGAATCTCTAACCATACAGGCGATCCAGAAATGGTCTTCGTTATTTACACACAAAAAATAACTATGTAACCCGCAATCAAGTTGGCCACATAGCCGATAACGTCAGACCCCAGGCAGCATACGAAATCGAAGGAAGGGTGCCGAATATTAACGGAGGCAAAGGGAGGTTCTCATGGAGCTTACTCTGAAGCTGGCTGTCTTCTGGGTTGTAGACTGACTACACGGCGCTACAATCCAGGAGACAGCCCCGTCGGTCACGAAGAACTGGTCGTTTGAAGCACGCAAATCGCTATGAAACTTTTAACGATAAACAAATGGTTAACTTCCAAGGCAGGGTAAAACATTTAAAATTGCTAAAAGTGTTTATCATGTCATTTTACATTATAATTATTTGTCTATGTCCCGATATCTGACCCGGTCTGCACTGCCTGCAATCCGAGGCGAGACCAAGTATGGAACCACTTCCGCGGAGAAAGGCCACGAGCGAAACACGAAACATATCGCAGCCACTCATGGCCTATCCAAAAGTAGCAGAGCGGCGATGTAGCAGAAGTGACTGACAGGGACAGCTAGTTCGGATTCGCTCACTGCCATGGCTGTTGCCCGTTTCCTTAGAATAAGTCAAAATTAATTTCTTCTCTTTCAAATGACTATTCCTAAGCAGCATGGAATGCCAGGATTCGCGAACTTGAAAGATGAGGGAAAAGTTCGTGGCTCATTTCAAAGAACATTCCCAGTTTTGCCTACAGGAACCTGCAATTAAAATACGCCACGCCTAGTCACGCTTAGACACTTATCAAATCTTCGTCGTATTTTAACACTTATGGTGACCTCTCGTCACGCCCTTATAGCAGGTCATACCTAGTCACGCTTAGTCACGTTGTCGCACTTTGTAAATCTTCGTCACGTTTCGACATATATGGTGATCCCTTGTCACGAGGTCAAAGCATGACACGCCTGGTCACGCTTCGGCACGCTTACGTTATGTTACGTAATGCTCGGTTAATTTTGGCTACTTTGCAATATGTTAGATGAAGTTACGACAGCTTAGGGTAGGATAGGTTGCGTTAGGTTGGGTTAGGTTATGTTGGGTTAGGTTGGGTTATGTTGGGTTAGGTTGGGTTAGGTTGGGTTATGTTGGGTTAGGTTGGGTTAGGTTAGGTTTTATAGTGGATTTTCTTAGATTAAGTAACGTTTCGAAAATTTTTGTGACGTTTTGACACTTATGGCCACAATTCGTCACGCTTTTAAAATCTTGGTGAAGTTTTAACCCTTACGGTGTCCTCTCGTTACGCTTTCAAAGGAGGTCACGCCTAGTCACGCTTTGTCACTAATATATATATAATTGAAGATAATGGAGCGGACAGCAGCAGTGGTAGGGACGCATCGAGTGATATATCAGAAAGCGGTGGTCTGTGAGGAGTGCAAGAGGACCGAAGAGTTGTGAAGAAGATAAAATTATCTAATACTCTCTGCAGTGTTAATTTTCTAGTGATGTGTAGTGTAGTGAAATCGACTTTCCTGTTACATACCGTGGTGATATTTTATTTGGAGTGTACTGTACGCGGCCTGTTGCCATCCCTTCCAGCAAACTTCTGGTTAGTGACTCGCTCCAAGGTCCCAAATCACAATGTTCCGCGGCCAAAAACGCTGGAACGCAGTATACCTGTCTGTGTTCGTGGTATTTCAACCGGCGATACTCAACTAGATGGAAGGAGGGGACGCGCGTGAACATAGGTGAGAAGGCGAGAGGTTCTACTAAGAGCTTTCAAAAATCAACTACGGGAAGTAGCAATATGCAAATGCCTGCCTTGGCCTTGGCGAAACGCGAGGAAATTCAGCTCAAGCAGAACAGTTGTACGTTGCAAGATTTCCCAACCGCCAGACTCCCTGTAACCATTTTGAACACCAGCTGTGAACTACCACCAAACTTGTATATCCTTGCTTATTTCCCTATAAAATACATATTTTCTTAGCCTTTCGTTTTATGTAATGCCAATGTCCTTAAAAGGCCAAAGTCCTTTTTTTTACAAAACGGGGAAGCTGCACTGATACAAGACACAAGAACGGAGTTACGATGCTGTGCATGTTAATGTGCGATGGCGATGGTTATTCCGAAATAACTTTAGTCAAATAGTTTTGTATCCCTGCCATAAATCGCTAAGAAAAAAAATACCTAACTTTGGCTACGTGTACGGAAGTCAGGAACGTCAAGGACTGGCGCGCGCAGGCGCACACACACAAAGGTATATGTAAGTCCAGGAAATTTGCAACACTTGTCAATTTTAAAGGGCTGTAGGGCCAGAGACGTTTCCTGACCTTTGCGTATTTGCAATTCTTAATTGCTTATGGGATCGGACGATTAAAAGTAAGCATAAACGTCCGCTGCTGATTAGCGAAAAGTGAAAAATTCACTCTCGTCAATGACAAAATCACACACGGAAATCTTACCCCAGAGAGATCAAACAGATACACAAAGCCAGCCACGGTACGAACGCGCACATCTCCAACACTTCGCAAGCGTGTGTCAGAAACAATGAATTCACAAACATGGGAAACGTACATCTGAATATGCAATTACAGAGCTCAGATTCTTTGCATCTTTGCGTTACCTTTCACCAATATCACATCTGCTAAAACTACCTTTCCGAACTGTGATCGGTGTAAGATTAATTTCATGTGATAATTGCGCCGAAATCAGGGGTATACCAAGAAATTACGTAGACAGCATTCAAGTTCCTATTTTCAGTCCTATTTCTGATAGCGGTATGTAAAAAAAACAATTGGGGTGTGTCACTGTATGACAACACGACGTATCACACAAGCTGAAAATGAACAGGATCCTTCCATCCTTTTCTCGGACTGGGACCTGTTCATATACGTTCTTGGCAGATGATCCAGAAGTGGTTTGCCATTGCCTTCTTCTGTGTGTGAATGGGATGCCACGGAGAAACCGGGGAAGCCCCCGGAGGAAAACTCCGTGTTGCCTAGACCACGGCCTTGCCAAACACAAGTTATAAATTCGGGCACCGCCGGGAATCGAACCCGAGACCCCAGGATTACAATGCCAGCGTTCTAACCGCTAGACCGCCGTGGCGGTATGTTGCAATTATGAGGGAAAATAGGCCTGGAGCACGGAGAAGGAATGACTGACGTGGGAGGCATCACGACGTCTCTGAACGGTCACAAACGCGCATACGATTGAAGCAATTTTCCTTGGATATTCCAAACAAATTAAGCGCATAAGCAAATTTTGTGTGCCGTTCTACAAACTTCCCTACTATTGCCATATCAAAATACTGAACACTGTACCTTTCTGTTAGCATTACATTACCGTCTTGCCTACGTTTAAACAGCCTTTTTTATTGCCAAATTTATATTCCTTCAACGAAACTGACAGGAAGACTGCACCAACTAGCAGACAGTATTATTCCAACAAATTCAGGATGTATTATTTTGAGTTCCGTTCCCTGCCTAGCCTGTAATCCGGTCTACAATGTACCTGCACTGAAACCTTTATCTGCGAAGATGATAAAACAAACACTCACCCAACACAGAATACGTAGCAAATGCCACAGCCCAGGCACGTGGTCCTGTGTGACCTTCATTGCAGTCACTACTGACAGCCCAACTTTGACAGCAGGGAATATTCTACGACTCTCGTAACAGAAACCAAACACCAAAGTCAACACCACTGGACAATATCCAGAACCTTTCAATCCTCACAGCCTAACTTAATATTATCCTTAACGGTCTTTGGAGTCGTCGCCCCCCCCCAAAATCCTAGCTAAATGCCAAGCCCCGCTCAGTTCCCCGAGATTTCACGAT